GAGCAATGTGTTTTCCTGCCTTCAGGTTACCAGCCCGCATATTTTGCACAGTGCTCAAGCTTTCACTCATTTTTACTGAAATCAATAGTGAACTTGCTTTCACATGACCATATGGTGATTGTCTATTTTACTTGACCTAGATCCTATTTGGGTTATCTTGTCTTCGCTGACCAATGCTTACTACGTGGATCGCCTATACATGTGCTTTGCTGTACATAAGCCAAGCTGTACTCCTCGCATGCACGGTTTTAAGATCTGGTTAGACCTGTTTAATTTAGTGCGGAAAAGGTGAATTACCCTGACCGTATGATTATTTCACACCTAGCTTTCACATGTTGTCGACCAGCTGCAAAGGAGTGATGCTTTGCTTTCGTCACGTTCACAGTACTTAACCTAGTTTTTTATGTTCAGAAGGTGGGGGTTGGTTACTAGGTGTTTTGATTGATTGGTGGTGAGCATCTTCTATGCCCCATATTGCAGTTGGGAGACAACTATCTCATAAAGTCCTGCGTAGTCCCAATCATAGAAATATTGGAGGCAGATGAATGATTGATACAACCCTGTGCAGTCAGGATGCAACAATTATTGGACACTTCATATTCACCCCCTTAACGCCGATGAGTCCCATAAAGGACGGGCGAATATTCACCGCTTGACTGATTATGACCGGATGAAGCTTCCTGAAGATTTTTCATTCTGCTTTCTACTCTGCCATCTTGGCGATTCGGCAACTGATCTTATGGTGAGATTCCAAAAGCCCATAAGTTGTGTTCTGTTGATGCGATCAGCGACCATCTGTCACCTGTGGGCTATCTTATCATACCGTCACTTTCCAGGTAGTCATCATTTTTTTATCTGATCGGAACTCTTTTAATTCAGATCATATGATTTACTGCGACTTCTGTCGACAGTGTCTATTGCAGCCACAACGCATGGGACATTGGTCATCTTCTAATATTTGGTCTGGTCGTTGGTTTGTTCACTGAGCTGGGCAATTTAATAGCAAACGTTTCATCACCAACCCAGATGACATCATCCGTGCGTTGTTAGGGAGCATAGTGGTGCGTAGTGATGGGTTGGTTGTTGTGCGTTGAGTAATGTTGCGCGTGTGTTAATATACGCGCGGCTAGCCGGGACTGAACTTTGATCACGGTTGGTTGTTCGGTCGGGCGGTTCTGTTATCCTGTGTCCTGGTTCATTGATGCCCACGTAACCTCTGGGCTTGTCATTCCCGGCCTTCATACTCTGGTCGATGCTGGAGTGACATCTGTTATTAAACCTCCCGAGTTCCAGCTTGTGACCTCTACTGATCTGACTTCAAAGCGTTCCTTGTTTTGTAGTTTGTGAATCCGGTACTCGCTTCTTGGGTATTCCATTTGAGGTGTTGGTCCTTTGCACGTAGTGGTGCGTAAATTGGATCCAGCTCAATGCATCGGTTGATCGAATCCGGCGTGGAGTACCATGCTTCCAGAAATTTCCTTCCTTACCTCGTGTCTCCGTGTGCCAAAATTTTCGCACTTTCCAGATTGAATTTGTGGCCTTCATGGTGATCGTGTATGGATATTATGGATAGACGTTCGTATCTGCTGACGGGTGAATTGTGTCCCCTTATTCGTGCGCGTAATTCCCTCTCGGTTTGTCCGACAGAATTTGTTCCAGTCATTGCAGTTAATTTGGTATATCACAAAGGAAACCACTCACAAGGTTGTTGAAAACTCTTCGACAACGCACTGATGATGTCACCTCGATTGGTGATGAAATGTTTGCAATCGAATAGCCCAGCTCAGCGAACAAACCAACGACCATCTCACGTTACATTGGCTATCAACATTTTCCTCCATATTATTTCGTCTGTCCTTGTCATGCCACTCCTTTTATGACTGCTGCAACTGGCTGCAGTTGGGTATTGACAAACGTCACCCTTTCATTGAACGATCATCACATCTCTCCGTCGCGTCACTGACAACAGAACTGCTTGTCACTTGATTGACCATCGTATACAGCTGACCAAAGGCGCACATGTCTTGCGACCAGCCTTGTATCAAATTTGAGCATCAGCAAGCATGGTACTGTTAACTAGCTATGACTTGGTGTTGACTAACTGAAGCGCTAGTAGTGTGTGTCCCTGTCGGACGATACCCAAATACGGCGCAGTCAGAGTTGGTTAGACACCTTATTGCTGCGCCGTGAGCGAAGATAATTGTGTTTTGTAATGTACTACTCATAAGGTTGCCCAAAATCCGTCGACAGCCCAGGACTGGTTTCGTCTTTCTTGGGGCTCATCAGGTAGGCACAGTTCTACTCGAACACTCATTTGCAAACCAAATTAGTTTGCAAATGAGTGTATATTCGTTAATTTCGTGCAATCTGGTTTCAAGTAGAACCTAAGGTTAACGGAAACTCGGAGACCGCGCTTACTTGATGAACCCCAAGAAGGCCGAAACCGGTCGTGGGCTGTCGACGGATTTTCAGCAACCTTATGAGTAGTACATTACAAAGATATACATGTATCGCGATATCTCGAATATCGTAGCGACTGAAACATCAGGCGGCCTGGTGCAGCACATTCAGCTGCCTTAGAACATCACAAACGAGAGATTCAGCTGGTTTCCAGGTGAGTCTCTCAAAAAAATTAGTTTGCAAATGAGTGTATATTCGATAGTTGTTTTCCCAACCACGTATCGCTGTAGCTCAGGCAAAGGGCTCCTAAATTAGTGAATATGGGAGAATTCTAGCTGACATGTGCTTCGGACCCCGAAGTATGCATTTGCATACAGCCAATCAACTTTTAGGATATTCAGGTTTTCTGTTGTGTTGTGTATCCTTGGTACACCAAATTTCAGCGAATCCACAAGTTTACTCTCCGCCCGCGTTTTATTTTCCAATTTTCCTTTATCCAGTCCACTGCCACGAGATCTCCAGCTAGAACAGTAGCGATTTCTCCAAATTCCTTATTTTTATCAAATTATCTAATTACACACCACTGGGAGTTGAGCACCTTAGGTGGCCACGCTCAATTCATGGTAACTTATATTGAGAGGTAGTGTGCCTTGTTATTATTTGAGGAGGACATCATACTACTAATGTCTTCAAGGAAGAGTTTTGGAAAAATCTTTTTTCATACTGAACAGAAACGAATCTGTTATAATATGAACCCAAATGACCGTGCGAACAATGTCTGCGAAGACCATTCTTCTCTGGGTTCTCACACGACCTTACCGCATCTAACTTTCGGGACACATCGATTGAACGTGATTCCACTGGACGCATTTCAGAGGACGGGCGGCCCTATAGTCAGACATCCCTTGGAAATAAAATGCACAACAACCAAGCTAAAGTCAAAGTGGCCACTGTGATTTCTGACTGTTGAAATAATATGCAAACTTGGTGGAGGTGGGGATACGGTGCGGTTAGAAAGTTCAATGGGGTTATTTTTCGGAGGAAGAAGGCAAGTTTAGAGATATCGGTCTGATAATGGAGTTCAACAACTTAGACAGGGTGACTGAGGAAGCAGAGACTGATGAACTGATTAAATGCTTGAAGTAGGAGCCCAGCTAACAGAAGTTTGGGTGAACATTTTCCATGATATTAAGGGCAAAATATGAAAGGGTATGTTATCTACCGATGGTAATAAGGAGAGCACAGACCATCGATATGAGATGTGCACATCAGAAAGAGTGTTCATTCTGTGGATCATGTTCGAAGAGTATAAGATAGTTGAGAAAACAGGGTTGTCTAAAATTGGGCGGATTCGAGGACGTTTGTGAACAAC